CTTGCATGGTATTTTGTATATTACATTAGTTTTATTGGTTGCGGGTATGGGATCCTTTACGTTCGTCAGTAGCTGTTGCAGGGTGACCGTTGGTTTTGTGGCTACCGTGATATCTAGGGGTCTGAATAGTCTTGTGGTCATCTCTGATATGTCCCTGATGTACGGTAGGGTGACTGGTGTGTCTTGCTGTGGTCTAGTTGCAGAGATAACAGCAGATTGTGCTTTTTTATTTCAAATGTCACTGCAACAGATCACCCTGCAACAGCTACTGATGAACGTAAAGGATCCCGTACCCGCAACCAATAAAACTAAAGTAATATACAAAATACCATGCAAGGACTGAGAGAAATATTACGTAGACCAAACTGGAAGAAAACTGGCAATAAGGATACATGAACACCAACTAGCCATCAAAAGACACGGCCAATTCTCACTGATCTCAATACACATGGAGAAAGAAGGACACAAATTTGACTTAGACAACACATCCGTAATAGCACAAGCAAAACACAGACATGCCAGGGAATTCCTGGAGGCTTGGCGATCCAACTGGAACTCCGTCAACAAACACATTGAACTGGACCCGATATACTAACCACTGAAGAACAAAACAGGAAGTGATGCCAACCACCCCAGCAAACAGAGACATGAATAATGAGCGGGACAGAACACCAACGCTTCACTGGAAGCGCACTGATGATGCTACTTAGTAGGGTGACGAAACGTCTTCAATCAAACACGTCGGCTCACTAAGCAAGTCTATAAATGTATTATTTTGGATTTAGTCCTGGTGAATGAATCTCCCCTGCATCCCTTTCAAAATGTTGACCTACCTTTCACTTTCATATGTTGATTCTGCAGTTTTTGCCCACTTCTGTTTTTATAGTTCATTTCCAATATTTGTACTTCTATTTTCACTCTGCCTGTTACAACCATACTTACACCAACTATTTTGTTTGAGATTTGACTAATTCTACTTCTTTGCAGAGCCTGAAGCCTTCACCCCATCTGTTTACTCAGCTTAGTAAAGTGCTCAAGTTAAGCAAGGTCCAAGAGGTAAGAGCACCTTTACGTTGTGTAGCATAACGGTGATCCTTTATTAGCAGGTAGCCTTGTATGGCTCTTCCAGATTATTATTGGCGCAACTTTTGTTTTGACATGATGCACTTCTGTGTTTCAGGTCATCTTTGGTCTTGCATTGCTGAATTCTTCTAGCTCAGATCTGCGGGGGTTTGGTGAGTAGCTTGACTTGTTGAAACTATGTATTTTCAACCTGTGGGTTTGAAAATGCTGTGAAACTAGGCCATCTGAAATTTGCACTTTTGGTACAAGGAACCTTGACTGGGTTAGCACACAGTCTACATCTCAGATCTGGGCTCGAATCCAGTCTAGACTAACCTACTTTGCTTCCTTCTTTTGGCTATAATACTCAAACATAATGTATTGGCTTCAACTCTGTTTGTCAATATCAACATGCAACTCTACATAAATGAACAGTTGTGCTTGGAAAGGCATGAAAGAATGGATGTTGTTGGAAAACATTGTTTGTAACTCCTATTTTAAACAAGTGAAGTAGGAAGAAGGAAATGACAAGTGACCTGTGGGGAAACTTAGAATAAGATTCTCATAAGCAAAGATTAAATCTACTCTGGCTGGAGTGTGTACTTAAATTTGTTTGCCTAACTGTTCAAGCTACACGTTGAGGTAGTGAAGAAATAGCTTAGACAACTGAACTTGTTTCCACACACAATATGATTGGTTAATTTTTCCAATTGCTGATGAGTTGTACAGTTACTTAGAACAACTAGATACCTTGGGCTAGTCTTTCTTCTGTTCTGTACTGCCTTTCAAATAGTTATTTGGTTTGGGCATTCACCTGAACAGTCCAGCACTCAATCATTTTTATTTTAAATTTGCAGCATGGCACTTCCTTTGAAGAAAAATTCTTGCCTGTTCCATGTTTTTGTTTAGCAGCTGTGATTGGCACTTTGGAATTTTACGAGTTTCTAGAAGAACTAGGAATTGGATGTTGCTCTTTTCTCTGATGATCTGTTTGTGTTGGATCAATGGTTTTGTTTGCAAGATCAAGTTATCAGTATTTTACATGCCCGGCTTTCTTTGTAAGAGATTTTAAGATTCTTTTATAAATAAGTAAAACGTTGTCAACTTTTTCACTTGAGGAAAATGGCGAACAGATTTTTTAGTGAATAAAGAATGTTGATTCACATTAATATGTAGTCTTTAGGGGTTTATTTCTGAGAATTTGCTCAAAAAGTGCTGTTCTTTGCAAGGAAAGCTGAGAATAAATTTAATTTGAAATCAAAGAACATTAGATTAAATTGCATGTGATCTTGGTTTTATTTGAGTGGTGTCAGTGTGATTACTCATACCCTGTTGAAGTGGTGCAGAAAATGGTTATTCATTAGAACAAAGGGGTCTCAATTATCTCTCCACACAGTGAGAATTCTCAAAGTGGAACCATCAATTTTGAACAATTTCTACTCTCTCTGTCAGTCAGACCAAAGCCTTTACAGAAGCACAACCTTAACCTGCCAGTGGAAAGGTTTTCCTTTAACTCATGTCACCGGAATAAGATATAGATTGATACTGCGTCTTTAGCAAAATTGTTTCTTTTGAATTTCAGCTCTCCAGTTCGTGAAACAGAAACTTCCAGATCTTCTGCGATCTTACATTGACGCAGACGTAAGCGGGAACCAAGAAGGTGGCTTTCAGGATATCGCGATAGAAGTCCTACACCTGCTCCTCTCCCATCTCCTTTTTGGGCAAAAGGGAGCTTTTGGTGTTGGGCAGGAACAAATTGACGCTTTTCTTAAGACCTTGCGCAGAGGTAAGAAAAGCATGACCTATGATCTCTCTAATATACAAGAGACAAAATGGTATACCATTGCAAGGTAGCTGAGAATTCTTTCACACCCAAAAGTCTGACTTCATGGCTGACAGGGTTGTAGGATAAAAATGCTTCATTTCATGTAAACCAAAATTCTTGGATATTTGAATTGCTTTAATTGACAGGGCTAAGAATTGAGATCTGAGAGAAATAGGCTGCATGGTTCTTTCCCTGAGCCACAGAAGTTCTATGCCTGTGTTTCTATATTGCTATGCTCCAGAACATGCCTGAAGCTTCGTGTTAGCCATCTTACAATATCTTGTAATTCATTTTTAGGCTTTGGTGGTAAGATTGAGTTATTGCTTCCAGTAGCCCTGAGAAGGTAGTGTTAGGTCAGTTAAATAGCTACATTCATGTGCTGTTTATCAAGTGAGCAGATCAGCCTTGGAGACTGTGAAGATATTGAATATAATCCTTGGTTCATGCTGAGGGAAGAGATGTCAGCTGTTGGGGTGATGGGGGGGTGATAAATTTTGCCTTGGTGTTTCTTTCTGGCTAAGGTAGGCTTTGGTTTCTGCTCCTGATCAATTCCTAAATGTGTTTGACCAACTGTAGAACAAGTCGGGAGTGGTAATTGTTGAACATAATATGACAGTTACTGCCATCATGAATAATAGTTGTGAAAATAAGAGGAGAGAGGATGCCCAGCAACATATCAACTTCTCCACATACAGTCATTGCTTGTCAGAGGGGAAGAGTTGAGAAGAAAGGGATTGCTCTGACTTGTCTTGGCTGCTTGTTTAACCATATCCTTCCCCTCGGCATGCTGCAGCACGGAGAGAGAGATTGCACAATACTTTACTTTCCCGTGCTATAAACCTTATTCCTGAGCTCTACAGGTGTTGGTCATCTTTGAGTACCTTGTCTAAATTGGCATTCTTTTTAATTGTAGATGGTCTTGATAGCAAAATCAACTTCGGAAGCAGCTCATTTGTTCCTCTAAGTTATGTTAGATAAAATCCCTACGCTGTGGAAACAGGCTATTCAGCCCAACGAGTCCGTACCAACCCTCCGAAGAGCATCTCACCCAGACCCATCCCTCTACTCTTTGCATTTCCTGTGGCTAATGCACCTAATCTACACATCCCTGAACACTATATGGGTAAATTTAGCACGGCCAGTCCACCTAACTTGCACATCTTTGGACTATGGGAGGAAACCAGAGCACGTGGAAATCCACACAGACACAGGGAGAATGTGCAAACTCCACACAGTCAGTTACCCAAGGGTGGAATCGATCCCTGGTACTGTGAGGCAGCAGTGCTAACCATTGAGCCACCATGTCTCTCTGTTGTGTGAGAGTTACTTAGAAGTGACTGTGCTTAAAGGACAGGGAGGGAAAGGGTAAAGGAGAAGTCATTAAAACGGTGTCTGTTGATGGCTTAAGCCAGGTTGCATGTCATGTGGGTGGAAATTGAAAGAAAAATTTTTGAATTTTCTTAATTTCCAGATCATCTGAAATGCCTGGAAAAGAACTGCAGTTACTAATTTCCTGATTTTTTTTTTTTTTGTTTAATCTACCAGATTTTCCGCAAGAGCGTTGCCCTGTGGTGCTTGCACCACTGCTATATCCTGAAAAACGGGACATTCTGATGGATAGGATCCTGACTGATTCGGGAGGGATAGCGAAAACGATGGACAGCTCATTGGCAGACTTTATGCAAGAAGTAGGCTACAGCTTTTGTACAAGGCACGTATAAGTCTGTTCATGAATATTATTCTGAAATAAACCAATCTCAGTTTGAGCTTAACTCCCAGTTGGTGCAGCTAGTTCCTGTCTGGAGCTACTGGAATTTTTCCCTTGAGCAGTTTTTTTTCAATGAACAACCAATTTTGTGTTCATTTTGAGTTGTTATTTTGCTGGTGTGTTGACTTATGGATATTAAATTGAACACACCTGCCCCCTCCCGTCAAAGTATGAAGTATGACAATTGCTGTTGGAGGAGGCAGTGAATTCTGCCAGTGTCATTAGCACTTGCTGTTCAAATTTGAGCTTCTTAAACTTGTAATTAATTAATTAATTAAGCCTTTTCAGGGTAATCTCTTTTGTTGCACCCCACCCTAAATGTTCTCTTGATGAATAAACAGCAGTACTAAACACTGTTGACCTACTTGCAGATCTGTGCAAATGTAGCTGTAAACTGACTGCTGGAAGATTGTATGAAAGTAGCTTAGGAGTATGTTTCGCATATTTTTCTTTCCCTCCATTAGAACAACTGCAGTAACACAGCTGGGGGCAACAGGGAGGGTAAGGATAATTAAAAGGGGCACTGCATCAGTGGCATACATCAGCAATTGAAAACATTGCTTATAATTTAACCATTTAGACTGATTTTGCTTTGTGGGAAAGTAAGACCCTTCCTGTTTGAAAGAACAGTTTGAATGAAATTAAGCTATCAGTTTTGTGAAGTACTGCTCATCTGTGATCGTTCTATGCTGCACCAATGAATAGTGACCTAGTTTATGCTTGTAGGGAACTGAGATGCTGAACTGCATTTAACTTTTGGAGGTCTTAATGCTGACAGTTGAAACTATTTTATTCTGTAACCATTTTAATGTTTTGCAGATTAGTTAGACTGATATCTAGCAAAATGTATTGCAGAGAATTGTAAGGTAATGCTTTTGGCCGTGGGATTAATAAAGGAAATATGCATACTAAATGATGAATCTTTCCATAAAGAATTAACAAAAAGATTTAACGAGCTGTATGTCCGCCAATCAGTGAATATGTTGATCCAACTGTTTATTAATGACAATGACAGTTGGGATAGTAGGAAGGTCAAGTTTGCAATTAGAACATTGTGACTGGTTTTGTTTGCTTTAATTTAGGATGGAGGTGAGTACAGTGTATCACTTTTTTGTACTCTGTAAGGGAGAAGAGCCTTTACTAATAAGGGAGACCATAGAAACTATTCACTGGATTAGAGAAATTGCAAAATTAGAGCTGTTTGAAATGATAAACTATTTAGATCAGTCATTTTAAGAAAAAGTATATTATTTGACAACTAGGGAGCGTAAATTTAAGGCAACCGCACAGATAATGTTTCTTGATATAAGCTTGTTAGGATATGGAATGGTCTACCAGAACCAATAGTGGAAACATAATCTGCTGTGGAAAGAACAGTGAAATTTGATTCAGACAGTAGCTCTTTCAAAACATGTTTTGGGCTGAATGTTTTCTTTTCTGTGTTGTAAAAATCTAATTCTGTAACATTGGATTGAGCATAATATGTTGTCTCATTGCGTGGACTTTTAAATGACTTACTGTAAAATTGTGGTATCCATACTGAGCAAGTAGACCTTTTTGAGAAATCAGCTACAAATGACCACCGTTTTAAAGCTTTTCACTGCACAAAACATCCTTGTTGAGAAGGCAGATATCTGCTCTCTGGATTCTGCATGTGGCCCTTTTTTTTCCCCCGTTTCCTTCATTCTCCCTGTAGATAAGAAATGCTGAGTGAAGCTTTCAGTTATGTAGTACAATTGGATTAGAGAACTTGCACTGCTGTATATTGTGCGTACTAGCTGGTGTACTGGAAACCGTTATTTGGGATAGAATTGGTAATCATGCGGAGAAATATGGGCTGATTAGGAAGAGCGGGTGCACATTTCTAAAGGGGAAATCTTGTTTAACTAACTTGCTGGAGTTTTTTTTTTGAAGAAGTAGCAGAGTTGTTGACGGTAATGCTGTTGATGTAGTCTACGTGGATTTCCAGAAGGCTTTTATTACTGTGCCCTGCAACAGACTTGGGAAAATGTTTTATAGGTCATGGTCTAAAAGGGGCAGTAACAATGTGGATGCAAAATTAGCAGAGTGATGGGAAACCACAATGGTCAATGCGTATTTTTGAGCTAAGGAAGATCCTTCAATGCATTCACATCTTTCCTATAATGTGGCTCTCAGCGCTGTACGCAATACTCCGGCTGAGGTCTAAGAAATGTCTAATGCAAGATCAACATTGCCTTCTCCTTGTACTTTATGCCACTCTTAGTAAAGCTGAGAACAATATATGCTTTATCAATTGCTCTCCACCTGGCCTCCAACTTCAGTGATCCGTGCACATTATACACCCAGGTTCCAATGCTCCTGTACCCCCTTGAGAATTGTACCGCCTGTTTTATGTTGTATTTCAATGTTCTCATGATCCCCTCCCAAAGTGCATCATCTTCCACTTCTCTGCATTGAACCTTATCTGCCACATATCCAGTCGCTCCACCAGCTTGTCCATGCCCTTTTGGAATTCCACTTTCCTCCTCACAGTTTATAATTCTTCCAAGTGTAATGTCATCTGCAGACTTTGAAATTTGGCCCTGGTTCACCACAGTGCAGGTCGGTCATGTATATCAGGAAAAGCAAGGGTTCCAAAATAACCCCTTTGGAACCCCAATACAAATCTTCCTCAGCTTAAAACTATGCATGAGGGGGCTAGACAGAGTAGAAAGGGCTGTTATTGCTCTTAATAGAAAAAAGGATGCGGGGGAAAGACAGGAGATTGACATTGGGTAATAGAGTCGGAGTAGTCACGATGGGCCAAAAGGCCACCACCTACACTGTAATAATTTTGTGAATCTTGTCTAGACACAGTCGTATGGCACAGTGGTGCAACAATTTCTTCTTGTACGTTAATTGAACAGTTTACTTGTTTTTTTTGTCTCCAGGCGCTGGAAATCTTCTAACGTCCATCTGTTATAAAAATAGTGAATCCATAAAACAAAATAGTGTTGCTTAGCATCAGTGATGTTCTATTAGTTTATTTATGCAGAGAATTAAGGGATTCTGACAAGAGTGTGTTGCAAGGTGTTGTGTTGGGAAATTGTTTCTGTTCAGTATCCCTATGGAGTTGTTATATACTTAGATTGTGTCTGGGAGTTCATGTGTATACTACTATTCTGTTTTAATAGTTGCATGTCTGTGAATTTGTGTGCAGTTGTCATTTTACCATGGCAACTATTTTAATGAGAGGCCAGCGTTGTGTGATTGAAATGAGATGATTTTGAGATACTGATTTGTTCGATCTGTCCCTTATGATTTATATTTTGCTGCAGATTGTAGAGACTTAATTTGTTTTATATACTGACTTCTAAGGAACTAGTTGATTAGCAATCATGATCCAGATGCTGCGTGAGCTTTTAAATTTGTGCTCTGGCTGTAATAGCGTCACGCTACTTGAATAGTTTGCTGTTGATTTTTGATGAGTTGCCAGGTGCATGTGAGCAGGTAAGTTTTACATCTCTCTCCCTTTACAACTTTGCAAATTCAATTTGTTTACTTCCTTAGAGGAGAAACAATCTTTGAAGTCAAAAATACTTTCTCAAAAACCACTGCAATTTTTTCATTAATTTTAGTATTGAATCAAATTTCAGTCAAAGAAATCCTATATCTTTAGTTCTGTAATTCCAAATCACTATCTAGAAAGGTCTTTTGAACTAAATCAACGTGATTTTTTTTTATTTTTAGCGCTGAAGAATGCCGCCAAATAATTTTGCAGTTTGGGGTTCGGGAAGTGACGGCTTCTCAGGTTGCCAGGGTGCTGGGAATGATGGCTCGGACGCATTCAGGCCTGACTGATGGCATTTCTTTACAAGTAAGCATAATATAAGCAAGCGAAAATGGATAAATATATGAATTTGTGCTGTTGAATTAAAGAGACGCACAATATTAAAATGAAGTACCTTCTTTTATACTGCCAGTGTATTGTCACTGTTCTATTGAAGTATTTCTCTGTACAAGCTCACTATGTTAACTTTATCATTCTCATTGGTATTTCATTGTGTGGAAATACTGATCTTCAATAATAGGCCATACAACCAGAGTTCCTGCTAAAATGACAATTTCACTGCACATTTGAAAGTTGTCTCCAAGCTAAGCCTGCCTTCAAGCACAGCCTTCAGTGTTTCAGCTTCTACGATCTTTGTAATGTAACAGTTATGAACTAGATGTGACCATATTTTCCAGGATTTGTTTTCAGGATTTCAGTCCTCATTCTAAAATTATTCTATCAAACCTTTTTCTGAAATTTTTATTGCTCCGTATGAATCTTCTGTAGAGTATAGAAGTCTTCTAAACTATTCAAGTCTCACTGCTCCCCAAGGACCACAACTAGGTTTTTAAATTTATGGTCTTGACATTCTGTCGAATGAGGTTGAACGGGCAAGAAGTTGGTCAGAGCAGAAACCTTAACTGATTTCTCTGCAGTGAGTTGCTCATTTACTTCATGTCTGCAAAGTAACTATTTCTGTATTTCCAGCACTGTATTAATGGCAGTGAAGATGTGGACTGTACATCTGTGTCCTCTTCTGGAGCTCCTCTTCCCCATAGCCACCCTTTCCATTGTCCCAAAGTTCTACCAAATCCCAGTAAGCATATTATTGTCATGTGTTGTATCTCCCTGTCACCTTCTGTGCTTAATGGAACTGTTACTGAGAATTTCCAAACCAGTAATGCTTTTCCCCATTTTTTTGGACTGTTTGACCACTCCGGTAAATTGATTTTTTTACTGGGGTCTCCCTCCACTCCTTCATTGTTTCTTGAGAAACAATTTTATGTTAAGTTTAAAACCTTTTTTTCTATCAGCTTCTTTGTTTGTCCATGTGTGTTTCTTCTATTACCATGTATTTTACTGTAATGGTTAGTTGCCCCTGACACCCACGTAGTTTAGCCATGATCTGAACAACATTGATGGGTTTAATTGTTCTAATTCCAGTAAGCAATGTACACCTCAACAAGCAATGTACACTGTTGCTTGCATTTGCCATTTACTTCTCCATGGTGTTTGCGATGCGCTCATTTATAATTGCAACTTATTTTCTGAGGTCACCAACTGTGGCAAGCCTTTTACCACCTGATATGAGGATTTAGAAAGGTATAAATTGTATTAATGCCTTGATTTTTGCACCAGAAAACCCAAAAGCTCTTCACAGTTCGAAATGTTGCTGATTGTAGATTAACGTGTTGGTTAATAGGTGCAAAGAAAATTAAATAAATAACCAATTCATTAGTTTATGATAGTGTTAATTTAATTGTTTTGCCAAGGGTGTGCCATGTAAACCTTCTCTTTGAAACATTATCAAGGCATATTTTTTATTCCAATAACGAGGCATGAGGCCTTACTTAAATAATATATTGTTCGTCAGCACCCACTACACTGCAGCACTCCTTCAGTAAGTTGTTAGTTTACATTATGTAATCTGGTCTGGGAATGGTGTTTGCATATTCAACCCTTTTAAATCCGAGGTAAGAACCAAGCTGAAACATAGTGTAAGTGGAATCACTGACATGTTATGGAATATGTGCACTTAACTGCAGCAGCAATGGAGTTGCAAGTTGAGTAATTGACAGAAAGTGCTCTGCATCAACAACGTATGCTGGCTGGTGATTTTAATTCTTAGTGGTAATTGTTTTCAACCTACTAAAGGTGTTAGGACAGATCAAGGCCAGTAAAGAAAGTAATTCAGTTCCATAAAGATCCAGCAAAGAATAAAAAGCAGTGTCTTGTCTTTTTTTTCTTCCTGGCAGCTCCTTCGAGATAACAACTTAAATCAGACTTGGCTTAGTCTTTGGATCTCTGGCAAATGAATAAGAAAGCTCATAATTCTGACTTGAGTTTGATTTTCACTAAATACTTTTGTCTTGGCTTACAGTCTATATCAGCCCCTAGTAGTGGAATCTGGAGTGATGGGAAGGATAAAAGTGACTCCGCACAAGCTCATACCTGGAATGTAGAAATATTTATTGATGTTGTGAAAGAAGTGGTAAGTAAACTAATAAACTTCTAATGAAAGCTTCAAACGCTGTACTTGTGATTTTTCTTGGAAGTGTCAAATGCATTTTGAGACGAGACGTTTGACTTTTATCTTCAGTTGCTTACAGTAAACTAGTTATATACAGGCAGGAGTGGTGACTTATTGCAACGGTGGGAGAAACGTTGCACTCTTTGGCCAGATAGCCAGAAATAATGGAATTGCCAGTGTAGTTAGTAATTCCAACTGACCAGGTTTACTTGCTTTTCAAAAAATGAAGTTTAAAAATACTTAATAATGACTCTTGCCAAGTAGTACAGAAAGTTAGTCATTTCTGTCTAGAGGCAACTGCGGTCAAACAAAAGAAAATCCCATTTTTTTTTTACCACAAAGATAGGAGGGCAATATTTTCTATTCAGCAAATTGCCATATATCTGTATAGGAAACCTTCAAAACCATTCTTTATGTAACCACATTCTACTTCTGCCCTGAAATAGTTGAATCTATAAATGCTCAAGGGTGAGTACAAATCACTACATTTTGGCAAATGATAACTCCTGTTTGATTTTACTACAGGAAATTCCATAATACTCTCATTCATTCTTACTGGACTTTGCTCAGGCAGCTTACAGATTTGAAATGGTGTAATGTACTATTCGTTATCCAGTTGTAGACAGCATGCTAAAAATAGCTTGTCAAATTTCACCAGACAGCAACACACTTAAGAAGTCTAATCATTCTTCTGTGCAAGATTGAGAGGCTTATTTAGACTGAATTGTTGAATACATATCAGTTCGCAACAATGATTTGCAGAAAGTCATTTTTATCTTTGCCTTTGTTTACACAGTTTTCACTAGACCTACTTACCACCCCATGGTGGTGTTCATACGTAAAAATAAATTAGAAAACGGATGTAACTCTAGGGAAAAAATTATGACTTTTATCACATCTAATCTCTTAAATGTACTGAAGTGCAGTGATTCACTGTAAGGTGTAGTCATGGTACATAGGTGAAAATGGCAACCATTTTATACATATCCAAGACAAACAGCGAGGTGAATGAGCATTTGTCTGTGAAAACTGATCAGGAAACTGGATTTACAGTTAGGAGTTTACTGGTAATGAAGGATTGTATTTTCACAGTTGTTTGGAAACTGCTGCAATGTCAGAGACATAGTTGAATTGTGCAGATTGACTTAACCATCATTGTTCCTATCTGGTGAAGCATTTTCTGAAGAGTTCTTTTACCGACTAGTCAGGAGAAATTTACTCAAGCTCATCACAGAATCAGTAATACTTCTGGGGAAGTGTGGAGCAGAGATGTGAGAAAATTATTTCAGAGATAGTAGGAACTGCAGATGCTGGAGAATCTGAGATAACAAGGTGTAGAGCTGGATGAACACAGCAGGCCACGCAGCATCAGAGGAGCAGGAAAGCTGACGTTTCGGGCCTAGACCCTTCTTCAGAAA